TGCATTTCGTGCGCTCGACACGCACGATCTCCGCAGAGGGTTGCGCGAGCATGTGACAAATCGCACTCTCGCCTGCATTTCGCGCATTCGACGCGCACGATCTCCGCAGAGGGTTGCATTTTTGGTTGACGCTGTTCGTCCCACCCTCCGCCTTTAAGAGAGAATTTACATCTCCCGTGCAAGTTTTCCATACTCACACTTGCATTACACTTGCATACTTTTGCACTTGGATACTTGCCGTTGGATGCTTGCACTCTTCCACTTACACTGGGGTACGTATAGAAGTGTAAGTGTTCATGTTCATGTTCAAGTGTGGAAGCGTAAGTGTTCAAGTGTACGTGTCGACATGTCAGTGTTCAAGTGCAAGTGTGGAAGTGTCAGTGTGTGAGTGTAAGTGTAGAAGTGTCAGTGTTCAAGAGATTTTGCGGAAGAACCCTTCGCAATGCTTTCGGGAAAAAATGAGCTTGCAAAAACAAGTGCAAAAACGCGCTATAGATGGCACAATGCACATCAGTGCAAAGCCATCCAAAGCAGTCCAAACCCCACTCAAGCCCATCGGTGCCCATCCTACTCTGTCTTTTACTCTTTCTCCTGCTGTTCCTTTCTCTTTCTCTTTCTCTTTCTTTCTCTGCACAAGAGATCACAAGAGATTCAGGTACTGTAGTTCAACTTTCTAACTGATGGAGCGTGCTTTTTTTTGCTTAAATCTCGCCCTTTTTATATTGACGGCATGCCTACTGATGGCGCAATTCTACTGTGGTACTCTGGCGCTCGTAGATGGCACAATTGTTTTTTTAAACCATCTATTTTCAGAACGGAGTAATACCTACAGTACCTACAGACTTCAGACCCCACCAATGAGCACCCTCTCTTGGCAGCCAAGGCTCAGCAGGAAGCACCAGAGGTATGACCAGAGTTGTTGCAGCTGGGGCAGCTACGGCGGCCGCGGTAGCTGCCCCGCTCACTGTCCCCACCTGAGATGATCAAAGGGACTGAAATCACCAATGTCCCCCAAGTTTTAGTCAAAACAACAAAAGTTTGTCACACTGGCAGGTTACCATTGGGCAGAAAGGGCTTTGACACCCTACTGCTTTCACTTGCAGAATTCATTGGATACCGCAATGAAACCACATAGAATGGATCCAATGGAAGTAATGTGAAGTAACTATGGCGGTATCATTGTGATATCTCAAGCAGTGCATCACAGGATGTGGACAACATGTTCGCGACGGCCACTGCCAAGGCTTGCGCGCTGCCAATTGAACATGCTCCCAAGGAAAAGGAGCCTTGCAGAAAGGGCAGGTGTCATCATTCACACACATGGCTGTAGCCCAAAACTCTCAGCAATTCGTTGTACACCTGAAGATCTCCTGCCAACATTTTCAGCATGCATCCGTCAACCATGGCAAAGTGGATTGCGAGGCAGCTTTACCATACCCAGGTCGCAGGAAAAATGGAACACTCTTGCCCATCAACCCCAAACATGAGATGAAAGTTGCTCCCATACCATGCCTGCACCTGCGCCAAGTGCCATTGCACATTCCATGGCGCCAGCAGCTGACAAACAAGGCAAAGTTTTAGTGTAGCACTTTGTGTTGAAAAGCCTTGCGCGATGCAGGTGTCAGAAACCTACTGTCAGATGAAGGACATTGTGCTGCAATTCTCTGTCATGCGGGCTTTAGGACGACTCACACGTATAAGATGGGTAGTGTACATATGGTACACATACTTCTAAAATGTCTTGTTGTTCTTTTCTTTTACAAGTAGATCTACCTTTTGTTGGTTCAATAGGGGAAACCTGGGCCCAGCTCGATGCTCGTGGCTCGTGGTCTCTTGCGTACTTAGATGCATCATGTTGTGCAAAACCATGTTCATGGACAATGCCAATACCATGCCAAACGAGCCTTTTCACGCTGATGTCGCCATGCTCTACTTGAGGCCACACACCGCTTGAAATCAGCGAGATCGAAATCGTGTCCGTTCTAATTGACAGGTGCAACAGAAACACACAAGGCAAAAGCCACCGCTTCTATATACCGACGAATTTGAACCGAGTTTGTGCTGCACTGACAGGTGAAACATCGAGACAAAGTTGGGCCTTGTAGTCACTGCTTTGAGTTGCCAACAACATCGTATGGAAATCGGCCATCTTGAAAAACAGCGGTTTTGTTCAGAAAAGATCTTGCGGAAGTAGCAAGTAAAGGAAAGCTTGTGTTGAAATCAGACTAATAGGCCACTTTGCTCGACTTTGCTCTTGCTAAAGCTCAAATTGGCTTTGCTTCTATGATCCTCAAGGATGACAGGCTTCTCACCAAATGCAATGCAACCACGCTCGGCCTGCAGTCTACTTCTTTTTTGGAGGGATTTTACAGAGTTCAAAACAAGGAGTGGTGACATCCAATAGGAGTGGTGACATCCAATACGAAGTCGCATTAGATCAGCCATCAAGCTGGCCTGCATTGGTGCGAAGCCTGCTACAGCACTGACCCTACAAAGAAACAAACATAAAAGAAACATACCCACATCCCAGAAAATCAGAAACAGGATGCAAAACCCTTGCCACTTTGATGACATCAAGCAACTTGCTACAGCTTTCCAAAATAGTATTATACAGTGTAGATAGATCTTTGTATTCTTCTGTTTGAGCAGTGTTCAGAAAAACGCTCCAAGGTGTAGACATTGCTGGTAATTAGTTACAATCGTATCTTGTTCCAGAGTCTTCAACCAAGGGTTTGCTTAACTTCAACAAAAGTGGTCTGCTAATATCATGTTTGATGCTGGTGACCTCATTGGCCAAAGATTCCATTTAGGCTGCGTCGGAGCATGCCCATCACAGGGCGGTCCTGGCAAGCGAGAGGTGCCTGTATTGGAAGTGACGAAAAAGAGTGTAACAATCCAGAAAGTAAAGGAAACAAGAAACGCTCTAAAACATCTAAAGAACAACAGAAAAGGTGTGAAGGTCTCAAAAAGGGAAGCAAGCAAGGAGGGAAGACATAGTAAAACACATAAATGGCTAAGGGTCCAAAGAGAAAAGGACAGGTGATGGCCTACCATGATGTAAACAAACCTAGAAAACCACTCATTGTCATTTGGTCTCGGAAGATAGGATCTCAACCATCCAACTCCATCATTCATAGGTGACCCTATCACTTAGAATTACTTTTGGTTTCACTCCTCGTCCTCCTCTCCTCTTCATATCGTTTCTTTTGCTCCTTTATTGTTTCTATTCGCTTCTTGTTTCCCTCCTTTCTGATCCAAAAGCTGTACTAAAAGGAGTGAAAAGAAACACCAATGACAGGTGAATTAAGTACCACACAATGGCAGCTGTCCTCACCCCTGGCACCCGGCTTCGCCGAAGGGCTTAGAGGTGTTGGGGGATCTTGCGCCCTCGGCAAGGAGCAAGAAGGCAACAGTGAAATGATTCCGGAGGCAACTAGTAGAGACGCCTTCTTGCTCCTAGTAGCTTCTTGCTAGTAGAAGCGATGGCCTCCACCCTAGTAGCGTCCTTGCTCCTAATAGTAATGGCCTCCAACCTAGTGGCTTCTAGTTACTAAGAAGCATCAAAGACATACTAGTAGCTTCATGTTGCTACAGGTGAAACGATTATCGGATAATGTAAATCCAACTAAGTCCACTTCTGTTCTTCATAGTTAATCTGCAATCTAGCTGTTTTGATCGCTCTTGAGATTTAAACGGACCGAAGTGCATACATCCGAGGCTTTGACCCATTTGCAGACATTCGAGGCAGTGCTGGCAAGTGGGAAATGTTTTCACCAGCCGAAAAAAAAAAGCAATGGCCTCCAACCTAAGAGCGATAGCCTCCACCCTAGAAGCAATGGTCTCCAACCAAAGAGCGATAGCCTCCACCCTAGAAGCAATGGCCTCTAACCCAAGAGCGATCGCCTCCACCCTAGAAGCAACGGCCTCCACCCTAGAAGCAATGGCCTCCAACCTAATGGTAACTCAAAATGACTGAAGAAACTGCTTCCTCATCTCAATGCTCGGGAATGCCCGTCTTGGCCCTCTCGGGCTTAGTGCTTCTCAACAGGAGACGAACCATGCTGGAATTTAGATTAGTAGAGTAGTTGAACAAATCAGGAGTATCGGCAAGTAGCCATGGCTGGCTGGCTAAAGTTGATCGACTCTCCTGCCTATCATCGGAGCACCATTGACCTATGACAGTGCAGGTCATTTGTGATGCACCAGTATGAAAGCTGACGATGCAGTGTCAAGCTGTGCACACTAATGGCTGCTGCTGGAGAGCCGCTGGGACCTCAAAAGAAAGCGACGTCAGACTGGAAGCCATGAGCAATGCTGGAGTCGCATTCTTATTGTTACTACTAGTAAGGCACTTGTTTCTAATAGCTTCTCGTTACTAGTAGTAAGGCACCTGTTACTACTAGCGATGCACTTGTTACTACAAGGCCTTCTTGTCGGAAGAAGTCGGTAATTGCACCCCTTCCGACAAAGGTGAGCCTACTTGCACGGAAGAATTTAGAAAGGTTTTCTAAACTCTCCGACCCTTGAAACCTAAGGTGGAAGCAAATTCCAAGCAGCGTTTTCTGGTTGCCAGTAAAAGCGTACAATAATCGAAACCAAAGACTTTCCAGTAGGACCGTCAAGAATGGCCCAAGTAGTTGATTGGATGAGCAGAAAGCTCTGCACAACAAATCGGTCCCAACAGCTTTGCCATTTGGTAGACCTCTAGACTTCTTTGCTCTTCAGTCTGAGGATCCAACTTCCACCCTGTCGCTTGGCTCCAACCAATCGGTCACCTTGTCCGACATCTTCCTGTCTTTCCGCCTCAAACCGAAGTTGAGTTCTCCAAATCCGACATGTACGGCTCATAGCTACACTACTCAGGCCTTGCTTGAACAAGTCTTGCTTGAACAAGATTTTAAGAAGGAGGTTGGGAGCGCCTGTCGAAGATCCCGAAGGCTTAAATCAGCCATCTTCTTCTCGAGGTCTGTTGTCAGACTTGCCTCAGAATGACACCGCACAATAACTCCTAACCAAAGGGTGAAATGAAGAGCGAACTCGGTCAAAATTTTGCATCCTTGAACAAGAAGCTAGTAGTAACAAGTGCCTTACTAGTAGTAACAAGAAGCTTCTAGTAACAATTGCATCGGTCAAATTTTTGCATCCTTGATGTGTTTTACAAGTCAATGTGAAACAAGAAGGTCCTTTTTCCGACCCTTCATGATTCCTTCGACCTTTCGGCTCCTCATTTTCATAAAGACAAGTTCTTATTGTTACTACTAGTAAGGCACTTGTTTCTAATAGCAAACATTGTTACTACTAGCGATGCACTTGTTACTACTAGCTCCTCTTTACCTTTTTTCTTGTCTTTTTAGAAACTTCTCCTTCGACATGTAGAGAATGCTTATTCTCGTTCTGTCCTCTTGACACTTCACTCATGGTGCGAACGTTGCTATGCTCAGGTCTCTGACTTTACTACTCCTGATTGCCCTTTTCACTTTTTTCATTTTGTTATTCTTTGTTTCTATTCTTCTTTCAGACATGTCTTGTTCTTTTCCGTCTTTCTTCCTTCCTTCCTTTCCTTGATTACTTACGAGATCACTCTTTTGGCGAACATAAGTTTTCACTCTAGGATCGCCTTCCTGAACATAGCTGACCCTTGCGACAATTATGTTTTCTTGTTTTTTACTTCTTTAAAAGCTCGCCTACTTAATTAAGTAATGGCGACTGGTTCGCTTCTAGTAATTGGACGCAGGATAGCTCACGCTTCTTCAAGGAAGCTCCGAAGGCTTCTTTGAAGAAGCGATCACACTAATGATTGGCTAGGGGCTCCTGGCCTTACTAGGAGCAAGGACGCTACTAGGGGCTCCTGGCCATACTACTAGTAACAAGAAGCTTGCAAGTGACTTCTGTTGTTTGTCAATCTGGCCATGATTAAGTCGCCCTGCAGATGGCCCCCTCGCCGCTTCTCCAGCCTCTTTTCACACTTAACGAACCCGAATTTCTTCCCTTCCTCTACAAACAAGAATGTATTCAAGAGATTGGCCTTTCTTCAATGTCTTCCAGAGAACGGTATAGCACAACTCAGGACACTATCTAAATCTACACCAAGACAGATCACTCATCTCTCTAGCGAAGAGCTCAGGCCTGCCACATGTCTTGCTGCATGTCACAGAGGAACTGTTGCTGGGGGCCCAAGATACTACCTGGACGGCATATCCTGTTCCACCTCGGTCGAAGAGCACATTGACTGTATTTTGCTCGTCCAAACTATCTGAGCTGATGGCCCAATCCAGGCTCGGGCAGGAAATTGGTAGTGCTTCATAGCCTTGAACATACGCAACAACAAACACTCACTTCTAACCACGCGAAAATGTGTGACAATGTGTCCTACATCTGTGAGAACTGAAACAAGTGACGACGATCAAACATGTTTAGAACATTCATTTCAATGCCAAAAGCCAGTGGAAGGAATGGAGGTGTGATACTCTCCACGTTCAACTCCTTGTTTCTTTTTGCAATGCATCTGTGCCACCGCACATAAAGGCCAATCAATGATCCTGTGCGTCCCAAGCCTGCCTGAAGAGCACAATCGGAAGCATGGAGAAACGAGACATCATCATGTTGCACAGTGCAATTGTTTTGCAAGGTCTAAGAACAGAGTTCTCTTGCAAACGATCATTCATAATATTGCAAGATATAGCAAGGCACTAGTTGGCAAGAAACTGTCATCCAACACCAAAGTGCGCAATGCAGTTGCATTTGTTATTTGATCTCGGATCAGCAAGTGCCACACCTTGCAGTGGACAGCGACTGCACTGGGCTCATTCTCGACAATGAGAAGGAATTTGGAGATGATCTGAGAGGGCATTAGGAACAAGAAAGAAGCTACTAGGGGCTCCTGGCATCGCTACTAGGAGCGATCGGACGCTACTAGGGGCTCCTGGCCTTACTACTAGGAACAAGAACGCTACGAACGTAACAACTCGAGACCGCCGGTAGTGCGAAGACTCCCACGATTACTTACAGCCGCCATGAGCATGACGAACTGTCAAGCAAAACACTCAGCGACGAACTGTCAAGCTCCGCCTGCCTCCTTATCTGGACAGCTGCCGTCCAAAAAGTAGAGATCAACATGCTTCAAGCCATGGTCTGCAAATCGCCGCCGATCGTACCTGTCAGATGTAAACATGCACTCAAGAATACCCTGGAGCAACTCTGCTAGCTGCGTTTGCTAAAGATCTGCGAGGGCACTGTTTCTTGTTCAACCGCACTACAAGGCCTATTCCCGCGTCGCGGAAGATTGGCACATAGTCCTGCGTTCCAGAAACACCGTGAAACACCTATGGACTCCAGCTTTGAAATGTACTATATAGTAGTAAACCACCGATCAAAGTTCTTTCTTCTCCCCTTTGCTCTTTGAAGCTTTTCCATTTTTTCTGTGAGTGGTGAGGATCGTAGCACAGTGCTCGACCAGCCAATGGTGCTCCTCTGGAGTAAACGCAGGAAACCTCTGGAACGGTACGCTGCAAAAAGCACGACGCGAGAAGAATAGAACTGCCTGAGAATGTGTCTTCAAAGCCAGCTTACAGTGCTATAGGCTATTTCAAGGTATTCAGCGTCCTGATGACAATCATGAATTGTTCTGTCAAGGTATTCTGCTCAAACAGTGTGAAGTAGTATGCGACAACCACTCAAGGGTGTGCACTCTTTGTTCCCGGCCCATCGGCATCTGTAGAAGTCGGGCTAGGCCCTGCAAATGCCAAGAACTTGTCAGGAATGATCCAGTTCATGTCCCCGTTCTCGACCTGCGTGCTCCAGAGATCAACATATAAAACATCATCAAACACATTTGCACCAACAACAAACTCGACGCTGGAATGTGTGAACCAACTCAGGTGTGAAGCACTGTGAAAATGCCTTCGCGCTGTCAAAAGCGGTAGGAGTTTTTAAGTACAAACAAGAAAGTCCTCTTGAGCACCCCCTCTATCAGGATTCTTCTGCAAGAATTTCCACATTTCTTGCCACAAATACTGTAAGAAAGATATTATTGCTTTTGCTCCCCGCAGCCCCCAATGCGTGGACGCAGCTCCCCAACTGGTCACATCGCGTCTGCACAACTGAAGGCTGGAAAAAAACAACCATCAAGTCTTCTTGTTACTACTAGTAACAAGTGCCACGCTAGTAGTAACAATGTTTGCTATTAGAATTAAATTAAGTGAAGACAAGTTGCATAGGTTCTGAAATGAGTTAACACTAACAAACCAATTGGCTGAGAAGGTCAGCTGTGCTGCGTTCGTGACTATGTACAGTGCCCAATATCGTGGGGTGCATCCCCAGCGACAGAAGCTTTCCATGGAAACTCCAGCAAAAGCGGCAACGTATTTCCAGCCATCAAGCTTTCTTTATATCAAGCATCTCAACATGTTCTTGAGGAAAGCTGGATGATAAACAATTGTTTTGTTATCAGTGTCAAGCTTTTCATGTTTGGCCTTGACCATTGCTATTAGGTTGGAGGCCATCGCTATTAGGAGCAAGGACGCTACTAGGGGCTCCTGGCCATACTACTAGGAGCAAGGACGCTACTAGGGGTTCCTGGCATCGCTATTAGGAACAAGAAGCTGCTAGGAGATATCGCTACAATTCTCGGAGGCGGTTGACCTCGATTCACCCATCACAGCCATGGCTGCCAGCCTCGGAGCACCAAAGATGCAGTTGCGACCGTTGCGACTGCATGCGGCCGCTGACTGAGCACGCGCCTACGTACATCTCGCTGAGGTTCCTCTTGCAGGTGGCCGCCTTGTTTCCAAGTTTGCAGCTGTGGAGGCCATCGCTTCCTAGGGGCTCCTGGCCTTACTACTAGGAGCAAGGAGCAAGGACGCTACTAGGTTGGAGGCCATCGCTACAGGTTCAAACTGCGGACATCTCTCGTTGGGTTGCAACCTGAAGGAATGCGAGTGTAAGTCATTAACTGATGCTTGGGGCTGTTCCTCCCAAGTCGCAATTATTGGAACAAAATTCCTGATACAATGATTTCAACATCTTCACTACGGAAAAGAAGCTACTAGGGTTAGCAGAGCAGTGTGCAGTGCAGTTCAACGTGGAACATGTCGCCCATCCCTAAAGCAATGCATTGGAGACTCTACAAAAGTGAAAAGTGGACGCTACTAGGAGCAAACGGCATCGCTACTAGGAGCAAGAAAGCTACTAAGGGCTCCTGGCCATACTACTAGGAGCTTTTTCGCGCGCCTTTGTGCGCGCGGGGGGGGAGAGGAGGCCATCTCTCTTAGGGGAGGAGAGCAAAAAACGTCTTTCAGCGCTGCAAAGCCCGAAAGGCGATCAGTCCGAGGTTTTGCCACACGAGAAGCTAGTAGTAACAGGTGCATCGCTAGTAGTAACAAGTGCCTTACTAGTAGTAACAAGAAGCTAGTAGTAACAAGTGCCTTACTAGTAGTAACAAGAAGCTACTAGGAACAAGTGAAGAAATTTCTGAAAATCGAACGGTAAATACTAAGCTGAAGTAAATACTAGCAACCCAAGAGCGATGGCCTCCAACCTACCAGGGATGGCCTCTAGTCATACTTTTCTGGACGAAGGGTTGAACTACATTCTTTGGCTAGCTACCCAAGCGGGGGAGGCTGACCACGGGAGTCGATTTTTGTAGTTGGTAGTTGGAACATGTTTCTGCCTTTGGTGGCGTGAATCCTGCAAGGGCAAATTGATGGCCCTATGTTCCGCTTGAAACTATATCTTCCGAAATGTAAGTAAGCTGGCAGGTTTTCTGCCCCAAAGACTCCCTCCAACTAAACGACATAATCTGTAGCGCTATCCCTTTCTCAGGCACAAAGAATAGCTGTTTATTGGCTGCGTTGATCACGTATGTTGAATCCTTTTCTTTACTGGCTGGTCAAACGCCTCAACATTGTCTGTTTGCACCAGAATTGTTGTAGTGCCAAATCCATCGTTTCTTGTGATGAAAGCAATCACTAAAAAGGACTCTTGTTGTCTTGGCAAAATTAGTTCTTATTATGATCCAAGCTATTTACTGAACTCGGTCGGCCCCAGAATGCATTTGCCACACTGTTCACAACAGCCCCCGGTCTGCTTACCAACTTTACTGCTGATTCTGAAACTGCACCAAGTATTCTAGAAAACTACTTAATAGCACCACCTGGATTAAGGCCAACGTTTGCCATGTCTAAATAATAGTATGATTAAAAAACAACAAAACGACCATCCCATGCAATAATGTCCACGCCTTTCATGTTTTTATTACTATTTTCTATTTCTCCCCCCTAAGACTACCATTTCTAAAAAACACCTTTTTGGTGTCGGGCTGGGCACGCACAGACCTGCACTCCATGCAAAGCTCTAAACAAACTTTGGGAAGTTTGAGTTTTAAGTCCCTATGGGATAGATTCCTATTGATGTCCGTTTAAATCCCTTTTCGATTTTTTGTTGATGCCCTTTCACAAACCTTTTGATGTCAACGGATTTCCTTTTGAGTTTGAATACAATTTCCATGCATTCTTCTGGCTTCTTGTCTGGCATGCTTTGCTGTCTAGTTCCGACCCATAGCCTCCTAACAAACAAGAACAAGTCCCTTCACTTTGACAGGGCTCACCTAACACAAAAGCAACTGAAACATAGCTGATGACTGAACATCACGGATCAGGTTTCCAGGTAAGAATAAGTGTGGAATGTCACCGTGAAGCCTACAGCTCACACGATGCCATTCTGACTGTTGTGGGCAAGACCAGAAACCAGGACAAGTGATGTGCAGTCCAGCGATGAACAAGTGCATGAATCATCCGTAATGCAATGATGTATAGTTTTCAATGCTGTCAAATGCTAGTTGTCCACTCCGTAGCGGACTTCTCATGATTTCTTAACTGTTCAGGACTTCCGGTTTATGGACTGCTATTCTTTCTCACTCTTTTTCGGACTAGTAACAGGTGCCTTACTAGTAGTAACAGGTGCCTTACTAGTAGTA